CTGAATTAATGGATGTATTTCCTGACAATTTATGGTGCTAACATTTCTATTCCCACAAAATGTGCTGCATAAACACCATCACTATCTAATGTGCCAGCTCTTCAAAATCAGAAAGCTGTTTCATCTGCTCCACTTGCATAGAGTGCCTTCTGACAAGTTTCTTCTTGGACTTGAGGCCACCTCTCTTTGGTGTGTTTGGTGCTACTGGAGCTATAGATCTAATACCTGTAGCCAAAGGTGAGGAGGGCTTGCTGCTAGCCCCGATATCAGGAATGGGAGGATTGGGGTTGACATTGAGAGGGGGCAGGTGGCCAGGCCTGGTGTGGGAGATGTAGTCTAGCAGCAGTGTACCCGAGCCTCTCCTCTCCAGGAGGCCAGGTATATGTCTATGTGCTGTGCTAGGAGAGGATGTGCTGGCATTGCTGTCTAGAGATTCTCTGGAGCTGGTCATCATCGCTAGTGGAGATGTGTTTAGTTTCCTTCGCTCCACAGGGACCTTAGGGGAGTCTAGCATTGCAGAGTCTGAATAGAGCTGTGAATCTGAGTCATAGTGATCATTCCCTAGACGTCTCCTGTGCATTGTATCTCTTAGACCAGCTAGTCCACTGCTGCAGCTGCTGCTGTCTTGCTCTGTGGGCACAGTACTGCGCCGTGCCAGCGGCTGGTGCTGCCCTAGAGATCTCTCATATGATGCTTTAGACGTTGGAGGAACTGATAGTGAGGTTGTCATTTTGCAAGGCTGTTCGCCTACTAGCGGGAATAAGCTGTCCTTCTCATCCACACTGTTGTGTCGTGATAAAGCTGACCTCTTACTCAGTGAGAGCCCGTTTACCCCTGCAACAACGTCCTCATCAGAGCTGGCTTTCTTAGTTTCCTCACGGGCAGCAGCTGCAGCAAGGACAGAGGGAGCAATCAGTCCCCAAGGCTCTGACTGCAGCCTCTTCAGCTGAGGTAAACGTGCACGTTTGGGGTTTACAGGTTTGCGTGTTGGAGATGTGGGCCCATTGGCAAGTTTTGAAGCTGAACTAGAGGTTTTAAGCTTCATCTGGAAACTGAAGACTGTGTTTTGTTGCTCCTCCTCAGGTGTGGGAGATGCAGTAACGTTGATATCAGAGGGAGAAGCACAGTATGCTGAGGAGGACCTCTCATCCAGCTCTGGTGAAGGTGGGACATTTAGGTACTGTTTGGTAGTTTTAGTACCAGACGGTGACTTATCTGTGGTGATTATAATGACTTCCTTGCCTTTAGCTTTGCATGCATCCAGGAGCAGTTTTAGCGTCTCCTTATCATCTGCATTGATGGCGTAGACCAGGGCTGAGGCCCCGGTCCTGTCCTCCAGACTGGGATCAGCTCCATTGCTCAGCAGATGATCTACCACCTCGTGTCCAGCCTTGTGGATACAGGCATGCATTAGAGCTGTCTTACCTCCTTTGTCCTGTATGTTGGGATCTGCCTGGTTGTCTAGCAAATACTTCACCAGTTTTGACTTACTTACACTCTGCTGGTCAGTGTGTGTGGACATGCAAGCCACCATGAGAGGTGTCTGTCCACGTTCATTGCTCTCGTTGATATATGCACCTCCTTCCAAAAGGAGCCGGGTGAGTCTCAAGCGCCTGAGCCATACTGCCTTCAGGAGTGAGTTTCCATCTGTTCGTAGCTCCAGTATATCTGCCATCTCCCAGTCAATCACAGATCTTCTCAAAGTTGAACTTACAGCTCACAGCCCTTTGAACAAATCAATGTCAAATCATCAAGTAGTTCAGCTTACATTGCAAAATATTTATAATGTAACACTCATACTGTGTTTGTTCCTCTAATGCTTTGCTTAACCATCACCACCAGCAGGTGGCCACCTGTTACTATTTAAAAATGACAGATATAACTTACTATTACACATTTCTGATATATTTTTTTATGTAACAGTTCAGTGGGAGATAACAAAATGTATTTTTCCAAGGAGGAAACTGATCGTGTCTATGTCCAATAAGCTAATCATGTGCATGCAGGAGACAGCATGGTAACAGCACCTGTTAGATTCACAAATCACATCTGATGGATGATCAGGTGATGACATTTGAATATCAAAATCAAAGTTTATCTATTTAGCACGGTCAAAGATGGTAGCATGCTTGTGTCTCTTTCTATCACATTTATGGAAAAAGAAATAATAACGAACATAAGCATCTACCAGCTTATAAAAGCATAAAAACAACAGCCTTGTTCATCTTTTTCTGTTGGAACAAAATATGTCTAAGAAGCTGCACGTCAACTTGATTTTTATACATCTGAAATAGTGGTCGTACAATATGTTAAGACGACCGACATTAAATAACAGCATGCATTGAGGTGTGAGAGTCGTTGTCATTGGTTCTCATTTATAACCTGGCGACAGAGACGCGCAGCATTAAAAATAGTTGGGGTAGTCGTTTAATTCTCCGTTGAATTCCGCAAATGAAACTACAATTCTAATGTAAATATTAATTTGCAAACATTATCCATTCATTTGATGCTATTGTAAGGCTACAGCATTTTACCAGCCTCTTCCAAGGTGAACAAAGCAGCGACGCAAGATAACGACATTATAAAGTTGAATTAATTTACCTTCGTTTTCAGTAATTTTGTAGTTTAATAATTTTGCAGAACAACTTGGTGTCTGCTAATTATCTTACCTGATCGGAGGAGAGGTTTTCCATACTCAAAGTACCCGGTGCTTTGTCATGTAAAAGAGAACAATCTGGGGGAGAGTAATAATTCAAAACGTAAAGTTTGTTGCAGGTCTTCGCAATATCCCTGTATTTCAGCCGTGGCTGTTCCCATCGATGTGTCCTAGTTTAGGTTACAGGGTGCCCTACCTCTCTGGCACCATTGCACACGAGCAGCGTGGCTTTTGTTATGGAGGCACACTACATCAGTCCAATGGGGAGTATGCCTTTCTCTGCGCACTCAAGGATCACAACCTGGAGATGTAGCGGGTTATAAATAACTTTCTTGCTTGCTGAAAGAAACGTGTATTCTCTTGACGTCAGAGTAGACCAAAATAAATTGCGTCTGTTGAAAACCTGTGTCCTGATCTTCATATGTGCAGGACTCAAACAAGATGATTGTTACCTCCCATAGACGTAAACGTGTAAATGCGAGTGTGTTTTATTGTAAGTGTTTCAAAAGGACAGTCAGTAATTGAAAAGAGACAGTCGGGCCTACACATGATGTAGAGGATAATAATTTTGAACTACTTCGCTTATGCCTCTTCTTAAAAATGTGACTCCATGCCTTAGATAATAAGTCTGTACTATATATATTTGATCTCCCTGCAGAGTGGAGCATCAGTGCCAGTTGTTGGAATAAGGCAGGCATTATATCTGCCATGCGATAAGACAATAGCTACGTCAATTTAGCTGTCACATTTGACAAACGAATCTGCTGTTTTCTGGATCACACTGGCTCTTACAGGAAATGCCAACATCTTACATTAAAGAGATTTCTTACACATTAAAATCAGAAATATTTTATAAACAGTGAGTCCATAATATAACAATCATTTCACAATTTGAGCTTATTTGAACAGATCTGAGATGTGTCTCTGATTGGCATGTTTCACTGTTCAGCAAATTAAGAAAGAGCAAAATATTTTGCACCTATATATATTTATTGCACAATTAAAAAGGCCAGAACTTGTAGCAACCATCACAGCTATACAGCCTAATAGGGGCATTTCTATTTTTAGGTTGCTATGAGACAGCACAGAAGCAGTTTCTAATGAGAACAGTGATGTTCTCAGCCCTGCAAGGAACAGGTAAATCAGCCACATTCCACCAAGGACCAGGAGGCTTTTATTGGCATTTACTCAAATACTTTTTTGATGGTAGTGTTTTTCTCCTTCCACTTCTGCAAGTAAGCTGCTACCACCACCATCACCACCACCACATCAATCATTAGTCTTCCGACCCCTGCCCTTTTTTACTGAAGCTGAGACTTAATAACGTTATTAACCATCCAAACACTTGACATCTCACGACTCCAGTTGTCAGTTGCTGGCCGTGATGTCTCACCTGTGATTGCTTTCTCAGTCCCTAAGGGCACGTTGTTTATAGGGGTGTGACGATACACTTATTAGCTCACAAGACAAAACCATACATGATACTGGGTTCACGAGAACCAGAGGAGATGATATTTGAACACTATTTTTAAAAAATCTTCAGTGATGAAATACATGATTGAAAAAAGAGTCCTTTATTTGACTGAAAGTCACAAAATGCAAAACACTGCAGGTGCATTTTGAAATGTTGAAACTAATAATCTTGTAAGGAATGTCACTTCAGTTCTACTTTCTGAGTATGAATTATCATATGCAGTAAAACACAACAATATGCGAGCACTGTAAAAGGTTTTGCCACAGACTCAACTGACTAGCTTCTCTCCTGTATGATTTTACATGAGTCTCTTCAGACCTTATCACTGTGCATAAACTATGCATGAGCTTCTAACTTCTAACTGAAGCTGTGGGTGACCTTCTAGTTTCACTCTCACAACACCACACCGGACTGTGACATCATTCAGCAAAGGCACTGCATTGACCAATCCCGTATGGGGGATGATTGGGACATGAACACCCATGGGAAGAAGATTCTTTTGTTTACCTTGTTAGCATGAGCATTCACTGCTATTCACTGTCAAATTTGAGCCACAGTTAACACACCATAATGGCACGCCATGCATTTTTGTTAGTAGTGGATGTTAAACTATTTTCTTTATCTGTCAATGCCAACACACTGGTGGTAAACGTGAATGAAGCCCCTCACATTGACTCATCACAACGTGGCCGTGCCTACAACACTCCCCCTGCAACCCCTCACCCCCAGACTAACGCTGCCCCATACCTTACATCACTGCAGGAAGTTACATTTTTGCCAGACTATTGATAACATCAAATAGCTCCTACATGGATGAGGAATATTGGTCACATTTTAATATCGCGAGATCTCATGGGACAAGATCTTGTCACACTCTTAGCTGTTTATGAGGAACATGAAAAAGGTGGTTTGATAAAATGGAACATATTGTATTCAATAAGCAAAATAAATGTGCTCGTTATGTTCGAGGGGCATTACAGTATATCATAAATGTCAGTGCCATGATGTATCTTTGTTTGGACAAAGTAAATGAATGAATACCAAATGATTCCTTAAACCTGAAGCAATTTGTGAAATATGTCCCAAAATTCATTATTATTTTAAGAACTATAGTGCTTTTCGGCATCGAAAAGGTAAAATGTACATTTTTGTGCTCTTGATTAGAACTAACTGCTGGTCAGCTCCCTGGTTTAGACAATTCATTAGCAGAAGGAGCCACATGGATGTCAGCAGTTATCATACAGCATCATCTTTGTCCCAGTGATGCTGCTGTCGGTGGTATATTGAAGGGAAAATAATTAAAATGGAGCGAATAAGCTCTGTCACCCCTGGGAGCAGTTTCCATTTTCAGATATCTTACATCGCAGCTGCTGCTCTTCCTCCCCTCCTTTCTAAATATAACCATTTCTTCCATCTGCATTGTGAGATTTTTACTCAACAGACTACAGTAGCTGTGAGACTATTTATAGATCCTGGCAAACTACATTTAAAAGTTATCAACAATTATCAAAGTTAAATCCTGATTACAATGTCTCCTAAAGCAGTCAGCTTCTTTTTAAAATCTGATGTTGATTAAATGTCTGGCATCACTCACTTATCAGAGGACTGTGGGAAATTCAACTGTGATGTCAGCACAGTTGAAAAAATGTACTGAAATGTCACAATCTTTGTATTCTTAGATTTTAACCCTTACAATCCTATGCCACTTGCGTTTGTATGAGTCTCTTATTATTTTCAAATATGGCTGTATTATATGCTTTCTTTTTCAGTATAACATATTTGAAAATGAAGAAATATTTGATTTGAAAAATTGTATTAAAGATTTCTGATTGATTCTATAGGCAGATGTTAGGTTTGCCTTCAAAATGTGCTATCAAAAAACCTGAAGCAATGTGTGAAATATGTCCCCAAATTATTATTATTATTATTATTATTATTATTATCTAAGGGTGTCAGGTAGGCTATGACATAGCTTATTACAAAACAAAATGTATTAGGTTTTTTGGGTAACACACACAAGCTGTGGGCTAACAGGGCCAGCTAGGGGCTATTAGCTAATTCTGATAACCAAAAGATAAAAATTGAGAAAGTGCATAAAGAAACAATTACTCAAAGTGACTTTTATTTATCTATCTATCTGTATGAGAGAGAGATATTGCAACCGCACATAATATGAAGAGAGCCACCTGCAGGGCCAACTCAACCGATGGTTAAATGACTACTCTACCCACCGCACCTCTGTCACTTCCCATACCAGGAGTTGAACCCGGGCCGCCTGGGTGAAAACCAGGAATCCTAACCGCTAGACCATATGGGACTGATGTTGATTAGTGGGCAGACTTAAACTGTGCAGGACAATCAATATGGTTAAAGGAAATGCTCAGTACTTTGGGAAAACACTTTACTTTACTTTCGCTCCAGGATTTATATGATGTTTCATACTACTCTCATGTTTGTATGCTAGATATTATGCCACAACTAGCAGCCTGTTAGCTTAGCTTTGCATGAAAACTGAAAACAGATAGCCTTGCTCTCTCTAAGTTCACCTCTATTGTTCAGCCTATTTAAAAAACACTGTTTGTTAATCATGTAGTAAAACCTTAGTGTAAAAATATTTGTTTTCCAGGGGTTATATGCTTACTAATTGTTTCCAGTCTTTGTTCTAAGATAAGCTAGCAGGCTGTTTGGGGGAGGCTTCATATTTAGCAGTATCGATGTTCTCTTCTAACACTCAGCAAAAAGGAAAATAACCATGTCTCCCAGAATATCATCTTTTTTAATTTAAGGATTGAGGAATTAAATAGAGGATCTGTGATGCATACTGCTTATGACCAGAAAACTGTTTACAGGAAACTGAATTCCATCTCCATTGCTCTGTAGAGCTGATGTGGTTCTGTCATTTAAAAAATCTGCTTAAGGCATAGAGAAGGATGTTTGATATAGTGAATACAGAAAAACAAGCAGTTTTCTTATAATTAACTCATAAGGGAGATATTTTTATATTCTGCCCATCTTTTCCATCTTGACAATGCCATTTACATTTCAACACACAAGCTGAGCATATATCCTCAGTTCTCGAGGTGCTGTTTGTGTTTCTTCCTCTGTGCTGGGTGTCTCTTTAAAGACTTGAGTTTGACATTCTCATGGCATTTGGTGTCTTTGCGATTATATCAAGCGAATGTGTGGGCTGCGACAGTAATGAACTGGCACAAACCCTGCTGCAGCTTTGCACCGGACTGCTCCATGCCTTTCTCCTAGCTTGACAGATTTAGGAAAATGCCTCCAGTGCAGCTTAAAAACCCGCCACCCCTCACAGATGCTGCGAGTGTTTTTTTCCCCCTCATCCACTCATGATTATGTCCTGTGAAGTATAACACATTTTCAGACACTTTGATCTTTTCATATTGAGAAGTGCTATGTTCTCATACTTGAAATCTTGAAATGGTCTCTGCCTCTTTCTCCATCACTCCTTCTGTTCTTTCACGTCTCAGTGCAAGCCAACACCTGCCCTTCTGGTGAGCAGTAATTGAGTAGAGCATTATTCAAGAGCATTATACAGGCAACATATTTGCTGGGTGATCACTGGGTATGTCGCTTGTATCCTAGGAGATTGTTGCATATCTAATAAGGAGTTTGCTATTCATTTTGCAGAGTGGGCACTTTGATGTCCTCTGTGTTGAGTTTTCTGTTTTAGCTCAACATCCTCCTAATGATTCAGAGAGCTCGAAGCTTCAGAATTGGTTGCTTATCAACTCTACACTGCACTTATTAGGAGTTGTTGTGGAGCCTTTAATTAGATATTGGAATAGGA